GTCTGCTCCACTATTGTGATTGAAAGTAGTCCCCTATGAAGAGTCTACCCCCTTCATCAGCCTTGCAAATGTCACTGCGATTCTTAATTAAAAAGTCAAGTTTTCTTATTTCTTTACTCAAAATTTGATTCTTTGATTAATTTAACTAATGACCATGACAACTAGGAATAACTATATGTCATTTTCCATTTTGATGTTTAATTCTATTCCTGAAAATTTATTGAAAATGGCAAAAATGTTCATATTTTATTATTCTTAAGTCATGAGAAATGGTTTTTGAAAATAAATTTCAATAGCAGTTATTAATTGAAAGGAAAAGACGATATCAGCCACTTTGGCAGCCATTGTGACTCACTATGGAGATCAGTGGTACAGAGAGCAGAGACACAGAGCTGCCTCTCTGGCTGGCTTCTCCATCAGAGACACATAAAAACCCCAACCAATTGGTGTGCAATAGAGAAAGAAACTGTATAATATTTTCTAATTGGTTCTATTGTTTTTCCTTGTCTTATCATTTGATCACAAATTCACGACTGACATGTACCCTTTTTAGCTGTCAACATAACAAAGCTAGTTTTGCACCAAGTAATTGATTTCTAGTGTTTTTGTGTGAGGAAGTTGCCACTGGAATATCATTGCCAAGAAAAGTATAGAATTTGCTTGAAGCATGGCAATGTATGCTATATCACTTGTTGATCTATGAGATGGTTTTGTAGGGAAAAAATAGTGGAGTCTGCATAAAGACTTGTGATAGAGTTGCAAGGTCAACAACAAAAAAACAAAACAAAACATTATATTCATGGTGTAAGTTGTGAGGAAACAGCTACAGCTGAGGAAATACTTTTTTGACATATTTACATTATTCCCTAGAGCATGATCAAAATTGTTTTGTGGAGTTGTTAGCAATGAAGTTTTCTGGTTCCCATTGTGATAGTCATAATTAGTCACTCAGGTGACCCATTGGTATCCCTTCCCATCCATCTTTGTGCAGTACTATTCAACTTTCATAAATCTGAGAACATTTTCACGCAGAATTTTCTCTGCAATGGCTGAACCACTTACAACCATATGAAGAAGGTTAAAATTAAAATAAAAAATTTGAAAATTTCATCGTCTCTGGTTTTATGGGTTTCTTGTTTGAGTATATTTGCTATTTAGTGACACATTAATGAAGTAACTTGCAGAAATCAAAGAATATCATAATAACATGAACTCTAAACTTTCTTAAATACGAAACTTGTACAAGGAGGGAGGTGAGGTATGAGGCAAATATGCAGTCTGTTGTGAAGCTGGAATGGACACTTACTGAGCAGGGTTGAGGTGATGCTAATTTGATGTAATGTCTGTGACAGGAAAATTTATTTGTTTATTGTTAGTGGTTATTCTTTTTGACAAGTGGCCTTTAGATACCTCATAAACCTGTTGTGTTGATGCATCTTTCATCAACCATCGATATTATGTCCAAGGGTTGCTGGAAGGACACAGATACTAGCCCATTATTTACATAAGCACTGGTATTCGATATAAAAATGAATTGATGCAACTTTTTGCTTATTTAAGAATCCTATTGTGTTCATAATGTTAATTGTGAGTAAGCATTGTTGAGCCTTTTCATGGTGCTGGGTGCCAGCATTTTTGTTGCTCAGCCATTAGATGTCAAACCACCAAGAGCGAATCTTTAGTGAGAACAGACACAACATTAGCTAGCACTGTTCCAGGAGAGGATGCCATGTGCTGTAGTCTGTAAGAGTTCATGTTTATTTCTGAAGCAGTAAAAACTGAACTGGACAACAGGGCACATATATCATACAATGGTATTCACAGTGGTTTGAAAGACAAAACATTGCAGATGATGTAGCTTCATAGCCATTTATAATTCCTTCTGAACAATCTCCCATTTAGGTGACTTCTAAGTGTCAGAAAAACAATCAATTTCATCTTCAAAATTTTGTTGCATTTTACCCCTTTTTTTGAAATATGGTAATGGTGCTCAAGTGGTGAAAAAATGTCACTTTTTTGGTATATTGTTTATCATTTTATTGTGAAATTTTGACATTTCAAAAATTGTGGTCAGAGACTTCAGAAGAGTATGTTATTTGAGTGGTGAGAATGGACTTTTAGAGTGAATCTGCTTTTCTTTTCTTCCAATAATCAACAAGTTGGTATTGTATGGATAGCTTGCTGCTTGTCATAAATGGAGCTTGATGGGACAAATTATTGATGAATCCTTGTGTAAATAAGACCCTGTGTTTGCCAAGATCCTTGTCACAGAATATGTTTGAATAAAATCATTTTTGGCAAGAACCCTTCAACTTCAGAGGCAAAAAAGTGTTCTACATCTTAGCAGCCTGTTTGAAGCTCAGAGATTTACAAGACAAAAGAAGATACAGGGCCATAAATGTCTTTGGGCGTGAAGTTTACCACAAAACTAGACAAAGAGAAAAAAGTTTGAATGCAGTTTCCCTCCAGTATTGGGAATTCCTGGTCATTGATATATATGGATTGGAAATTAATTCTGTGTATGTTGCACATAAACTGTTGGCCATAAAGCGCTAATGGGAGTTTTAAGTTGATTAGGCATATTGAAAGTTTGAAGCCAGTAGGTAATAATGTAGTAGCCTCCTGGGATCCTGTTTGCCATACAGCCAGAGAGATGCTGAACTGATTACTACTGATTAAGCACCTCAGAAACCCAGAGCATGTGTAGTCAGATATAGATATTATATTCCTCAACAACTCTCATTGATCACTTCACATGCAGTGTAGTGATTGATGACATTATTTATCAAGGATTTTGTGACTTACAAAAAAACTTTGGAAAACTTTATAAGCTATTGGATAAATGTGATTGGGAATAGTTGACATTTACCTGAAGAAGTCTTGGATTGGTTCTAGAATTGATGGGCATCTGGCAGATCTCCTGTCATTTTTCTGAAGTGATTTTTCCTTCAGAATGCTAATTTGACAGAGATGTGTGCATATTGTGGGGGTAAAACTTTTGAGTTATTGCATGACACACATTGTATTGACTGCAGTAGGGATGAGTGACGGTTTGCGTGTTGTAAGTTTCAGATAGAGTTGCTAGCTTTATAGCATAACTTGTGGTTGTGATATGTAATAAATTACTGGATTAAAATTACCTCTGGACACCAGGTTATGAATAAATCATGAATTCACCTAAAGTAAAAGACAGGTATGCTTTATTTACATTTTCTGTTTGTTTGTTTGTTTTTTAATTTTTGGTTCATTTTTCTCTTGCTCGTAAAAATCAACAAAATGTTGAGGACTTCCTGTAATAGTTATGTACAAATATCACCAGCCAATCATCAGTATGGACATAGCTGACCCTCCATCTGTTTGTGCACTAATTAAGGTCATATATGGTCTCCAGGCATATTAATTTTATTAATGCTTCAAATGGGAATAGAGTACAGATGATCTGGCAGTCAATCAATATCAGTTACTCCTAAAATTAGAAGGCTCTTAAATATTGAGAAGTAAGCAATAATTTATTGGTGGGTTATCAATTTAATATTAAACAACTGTTGTTTTCTTTGCTATCTCTGTAGGCTTTTTCTCAGCCATGAAAACAATCTATAGAAAATAGTTGACAACACAATTTCTCCAGAGTTTAAGAACTACAACTCCACTTTTAGATGTCAGTATACAATAAAACTTATTGACTGAGATCAACTCTCAGCAAAAACCTGCTTATTACTAAGTTACACTGCAATGTATAAACAATGATCATGATGATGAAAGTTGCAGTGTCCCTTGCTTAATAGTATTTTGATTCATTTGACTTTTTTTCTGAACTCTAACAGTTGAACGATTTGAAACTAAATTTGGAAGTGTGAAAATAAGAACAACTTTTATGCTGTAGTTAAACTTGGTTTAAGATTGATTTAAATCTCAGCAGTGATATGGATTTTGAATAAATTTGCAGAATTGGGTGAAAAATGTTGATAGATGAAAGTCCCGAATCTCATAATACAGAGAATGCAATGCATACCACATTAGGATTCAGATATTGCAGAATATTTGCCTCTGTAAATACCCCATGATGGATGATAGCAGAGGGGAGAGAGTGATTTATGTGACCAAGACAAATATCATTTCCTGCTAATTGCTGGGTAATCTTCAAAACAAATCACATTAGATTTTTTTTATACTGAAGGAACTTGTGATATATCTCAGTGTAGACTTTTCCTGATATTAAACACCTATCTATCTAAATCTTCTGTCCATATATCTTGAGACATGATCTGGCAGATTGGAGGAATATTTATATAAATCATGTTTGATCGATGAGATTATTCATGAAATGAAAACAATGGTAAAGAAAGCATTGAGACGAATGTGAAAATGCTGAGTGTAAATTGACTTATTGTTCATGAATGTTATATTTATCTAATCATCACACATTTCAAGACAGTATTTTTTAACTTTTACAAGAAAGATGAATTCATTTTTGTATATTTTTTCCATTTAGAGATGTAACAAAGGTTCCTTAGAACATATAAACAGATGATATTAATTATTATTTATATGATCTTTCCAGAATTTCTGGGTTTTATTCTTGAATAATGCAATAAATGTTTTCCTGTTCTTTGATGAAAGCATACAAATTATGTAAACTTTTGATTAGAAGGAACTTTATTTTTTCTAGATATTAATCTGTTAATTTTTGAGGAATTTCCCACTGAGTAAACATATGTATCAGGAATGTGAAAATGCCTAGCATTAAACATTTATCACTCAATCTGGGTAGGTTAAAGTTTTGGTGGCTACATTTGAAGTCACAAGTAGGTTATGAATGGGGGCTTTGAGAAGCTGAACTTCAGACGCACTTTCATTATTTTGTGAAAATTCCAGGCATGTATTACTCTGTCCCATACATGTCAACTTTTAGGATTGATCTTTTTTTTCTTCATGATTTATTGTGCATATTTGAGGTAGTTTAACATTTTGTAACCAACCTTTGAATTTTTGTTCTTTAGGGCTGCACAAAAACTAGGAAAGAAAAAGAAGAAGCACCACCAACAGGAGCCAGATTTACCACAGTACACCACCAAATACAATGAGGTTCTGAAGAACTCCCCACCCCCTGCCCCACCATGTCTTCTGAGGGCAGCAGGACGACTGCAACAACCTGGAATTGGAAAGGTAGGCATACCTTTTTCAGTCTTTCATGGAATCATGCAAAAGTCTGAACTAATTTCCTGTGAAATCTTTTATATATGAATGCAGAAGAAAACAAAGAAGTGGTTAAAACAGGTTTCTGATGTTGATGATTAAGTAGTGAGTTTTCATCAGGAAAGGATGTTCAGTGTCAGTGTATCTAAATTCTATCATAAACCTGCCAGAACTGTCCAAGGTTGTTGTGACCCTGAATGGTCCAGCACCCAGGGGGATGATAGATGGAGACCTGGCTAGTCTCTTCACACATGGGATACCTATCTCTCCATAAACATGTCTCCCATATCAGTAGTGATGGATTAGACTCTAACAAAAAAATAGAATTTTTGAAAACATAGATGTACCTGTATCTTTCAGTGCCTAAAGTAGATTTCTTTTAGCCTACAGGAATGATTATTATATTCTCTCCTGTAGAGAAACTTCATGGTCAAGCATATCCATCTATCAAACAACTGACAGATGGTAGTGTTTTAGAGTTGTAAAAGTTTGAAAAAGCCCAGATACCTATATGGCTTGGAAATGGTCAAACTGTGAAAAAGGAATAAAACCAGTAGCTTTGAATTTGTCTGACAAAAACCAGTGATCTTGTTGCAGAAACATCATTGCTACATATGTTACTAAAGGTCAGACATGCCAGAGATGTGTAAAGAGGGTCTTTATAGGTGTACAGCTCATTAGCTAAACAGACATAGAGTATCCCTATTCCTTGGTGATGACCATTATCTGTAGCTGTAGAAATGAGGTGTCAGAAGTAAACTTGATGAGAAGCAATCAATCTTTGGCATAGCTAACCAAACATTGGGGGAGTTGGTTACATAGTATAGCTGTCAGAAATGATTCTTTTGGCTTCACTATTGTTTTGAATGGATAGGATGGTCTTTTTAATGTGTTTTATGCCCTGCAGCTTACAACCAAAGTTTTTATCAGTCATTTTATCTTGTATATAGTTGCTAGGGAGGACATGCAATTTCCCATGGTCGTGTGTTAATTGCAGTTACAACTTTGAAGCCCAAAGTCTTGTAGCCATTTCATGAATGAACATATTTTGAATTGTTTCTGGGGGTGGGAATATCCCTTCAGAAAAATTACTCTCACACAAAATCAACAACAATCAGCTTCATAAAGCTTTAAAGTTTGAGGGGGGTCTAGCTATGTAAATAAATAATGTATGCATGTTCAAACCCATCCTTCTTGATTCTTGGTGGTGGTCAAGACAGCTTAGGATTGGTGTTGCCTTGTGAAAATCTCTCCTAAGCAAAGTGATAATCCCTAATTATCAAGAATCAAGAAATACTACCCTCTCAGAAGATCATCTATAATAGCTGTAATAGATTAGGATCTGGTATCAATCTGAAGATAACTAGAAGTGTATTGGAGGGATTATGGTTAGGATCGAGCCAGTGTCTTGCTGTGCAAAACTTGGACCATAAGGACAAACTAGAGAGAGAGTTTCACTGTCTTCATTGTGACCCACACACATGACTAGTGTTATTCAGTGGGGGATTGCCGTAAGAACCTGGGCCAATTATAGATCAATAGTTTATGTTATAAAAAATGTTTTGGACAAATGCTTTGTAGTGTAGTCTAGAACTATTTTTAATGACAATAAAGTAGGAAATTAGTGATTTTTCAGGTGTTCTTTGGCAAATTTATTGTCATTTAGCTCAGAAGTTTCATTTTTAAGTACATTTTGCACTTTCTCTATTAAACCTGATATCAAAGATGTTTTTTTTTTTTGAGAGAGAGATTTATTTTACCCAAATAAACTGTTGATTTAGAGTCTAGACATATAGGGTTTGGTCAGTTAACACAAGTTTGACCAGATCATGCAGCCATCTGTGCCTTATGTCAGTTGTGTTAATGTATAGAGTGAAATAGATGGATAGGTGAAGAATGATAGATTGGGCTAGTGGTACATGAACTTTGGCAAGAAAGAGAAATGCTTTGCAAAATAAAATGTTAATGAACTATAAATAAATATGAGAAATTTGATTGTTATACACATGCAGTCTTTGGTGCCCATCTTCAGTTCACCTGACCTGAAAGTTCAACTGAGCTTTTCTGATCATCCATTGCCCAGCATTTGTCTGTCTATCTGTCCATCCGTCCGACTATAAAATTTTCACATTTTCAACATCTTAAGAACCCTGGGCCAGTTTGTACTAAAGTTAATTCAACACATCCTTTGGTAAAGGGGATTTTAAATGGTCAAATGAAGGACCAAGCCCCTTTCCAAAGGGAGATAATCAAAGAAAAACAAAAATAGGATGGGATCATTTAAAAATCTTCTTCCCAAGAACCACTTGGTAAAAAAAGGTGAAGATATGTGGTAGCTTCCTGAGGAAGGGTAGATTCTAAATTGTTAAGATCATGGCCCCAGCAGATAGGTGGGGATATGATAGAGGATCAAAGTTTTACATTGAAACATAAAATCTTTGAAAATTCTTCTCAAGAACCACTGGACCATAAAAGATTATACTTTTGTGAAAGCTTACTTTTATACATAAATTCCAAATTATCAAATTATGGCAACTATATATGGATAGGGTGGGGCCACAGGGGACCAGTTTTACATTGAAGTACTTAGGGAGAATGTTTTTGAAAATCTTCTTCTCAAGATCCTCTGGGCCAGAAAAAGTGAAACTTAAGTGAAAGCTTCCTGTCAGGTAGTGTAGATTCTAAATTGCTAGATTCTAAATTGCAGTTCAGATTATGGAGTAACAATTTTTGTTAGAATATAAAAATCTAATGAAGAACAGGGCTAAAGTTACTCAGGTGAGCATTGTGGCTCATGGGCCTCTTGTTTATGAATCCATAGAGCAGAATGTCAGAGAACTGTCTCTTTCAAAAAAAGGAACTGTTTTGCAGAACCTTTCAAAAACTCGTACTCTTGGGGTTTTTTCCATTCATTTGCAATGTTATATAACATAGTTCAGAACTCACTATGAAACTTTTTTTTCCAGATAATCTGAAAGAGATTAAATCTAGATCTTATCCAATAGACATAAAATTTTCACTGTTTAAAGAATTTCTTCTGATAAGCAATGTGTTTGATGTTATCAGAACATGGGGACAATAACACACAGGAAATAGGGGACCTTAGATATTCCACCTTTCTGTGATGTATTCGTGATCCCATATCCTGCATATGAATGAAAAATCATGATTCCAGTCTCAGAAATAATCAGCAAGATTAAACTTTGATGGAACATGATGAAAAATTGTATATTTTAATTGGAAACATTTTGAGAGTAGGAGAAAAGACTTTGAAATTGATGATAATTAATTTTTCTGCACTTGACGTGACTTTTGTGAGGTTTGGATGATAACTTGTTGCCCGCTAATTGAAAGGGTCTTTCTATTTCCTGGTCAACTAATGAACAGTTCACATCCCTTTTATGTTGTCTGAAGTAACCTGCTTGCATATTTGATTCCAACACATAATCATTTCCAGAAGTAATTAAAAGAAAAAAACAGAAAAAAAAATTATCAGTTCTGTAAAGATTCCTTTTATCATTTCATTTTTATTTATCGTATTATTAAGTGGATGGCTTAGGTATCTGAGCTGAATCAATCTGTTATATTGGAAAATTGATCTGTCATCAGATGTCGGATAACTCTACGGTGTTTTAGTTGATATGTAACTGTAGATCTGTTATTGTAAATAGTAATAACTAGAAGGTTTAAGTGACCTGTCAACATGATACAGTATCATACAAATCAATGAAGAAATGCCTCAAAGGACACGGCTACCACTCCACCCACTTCAAATTTATACCAGCACTTATCAACAGGCAGTGGTCACTTGTGTCTGACCATAGATTTCGAGCAAAATTTCAGTAATTGGAAGATTGATTTTACTAGGAATATGAATTTAGTATTTGAATGTGTAGAGCTGGAGACACACTGCCGGGTTTTACAAGTGGCATCAATACATAGGATGAATGGAGCCCCAGCAAACATTAGCAGATAATCATCTCTTGAAGATTCCTTAAAAATAAATTTAAGGATAAATATTCATACAAAATGAGATAGGGATGGTTTAATGGCCAATTTATGTCTCCCCTGATGATGTTGGCCATGACTTGTGGCTGATCCCAGTAATGATATGTTTATTAATTTTTATTTAAAGATTCAGTGATGATCAGAATTAAATGTAGATGGACATACAGATTAAAAAAAAAATGGAAGAACTTATGATGTTACACAGAACAATTAAAGGATGTAAAATATTACACAAAATACATCACCCCTTTGCTTAAAAAAAACCTTTCAGGTTAATTCTTTTGAGGGCTGATTTTGTGTATCATTAATAATTTATGTTAAAGGAACATTGTAGTCTTGGAGGCATCTGTTTGTTAACATGTGGTTGCCAAACTGTAAAGTACTGTTCCAGGAATATTCTGTGAATGTTTTATTTGGCTTAGCATTTGTTAAACATAAAAAAAAATGGCCAATTATAAAACTGCACAAAACATGCCCACGAAAATGTGCAAAAAATAGAAAGTAATAAGAAACGCCAGGGGATGCAATTTTATGGTCAGCTGACCAGTCGTGTTCTTGATGGCCTTTTTGGTAGATGGTTATTTGTTACATTTTTTAACAACCATAAAATATCGGTTTAAGTGTGTGAATTTTATTTTAAAAGAACAGTTTTGACAGAATGATCATAACAAATTACAAACCTCGACTGCGCTCTCTAATCAGAGGGAGAAACTGTACCATCTTTGGCATGCAATCAAAAGTTAGTGTAAAAATCCATCCAATTTCCATTCTGTTTTAGAGACCATGAAACTTAATCATCTCCTAATTCAGTATTATTCAACAGGTTCCACTCAAAGTAAAAAAAAAAAGTGCTGCTTAATGAAGTCCATTTACACTGTGTGCTTGTTTTACTGAGCAAGTAGAAGGATAGTGGAAGCAATGTATTTTTTATGGAAAAGGGAAATCTGATTTCATGGAAACTGCTCTCAAAAAAGACTGATTTAACAGAATTTGATTTAATTTTGTAGAAATGTTAGGCCCAGATTCTTTCCATTGAGCAAGGATGATTCTTTAAAATAATATGCAAATGAATATCTTAGAGTAGGCCTATAGTGACAAAAAATATTTGCATTTCACCTAACGTACAAATAGAAATTATAAATGAACAAATTTAACAAATTGCTATTTAGCTTAAGCTTTTAAGTTTAGTATTGGGTATTTAGAGATAAAGAAGATGTCATCATTTCCTTTTGATGGTGATCTATTTGGTTTGTTGTTGTTGTTTTTTTTTCCATGGAAATATGCATTAGGTACATGCAGGTGTTCAGTTTGGAGCAGTAGAAGAAAATGTCATATTTTTCTGAAATATCAATAAATCAAATGACATAACTATCAATATGATTGATTGAGAAAATAAAAGAGAGAAAATGTGTTATGGTTGGTCATACTAATATCCTGCTATCATGCTTTCTGCTTCTCATGAAATATTAAATTTAGCATCAATCAATGAATAAAATATTGAAATCAAGATTTTTTTCTATTGTTTTTGATTGATGTATCGATTGATATGCAGGTGCAGATTTGGTTAATTGTATTTTAAAGTGAATGTGGACACACCAGCATGGATTTAAAGGGAGGGGATTTTCAAGTTCTAAGATTATTTCATTATCATTTCATATAGAAAAAAATTACTTCTTCAAAGATCATCACTTTTAAAAGAAAGCTGATAGGAATTTAAAAAGTCATGGGTATACATGTAGTAAAAATCATTTTTTTTTTTATTTATAGGTGAAGGTCATGTTGAAGATTTGTTCTGAAGGACAAGCACAGTCCTGTTTATCCATTGACCCTAGAAAGAAACAGGTCACAGTCTTTGACCCTTCTACTGTTGGGGTCACAACATCATCTCATCGTAGAACTACACCAACAGCCCCAAAAATGTTTGCCTTTGATGCAGTTTTTTCACCTGATGACTCGCAGGTAAGTTTTAAAACTATGTAAATTGCTAGAAGGTTTGCTGTCTACTGGTTGTGTGCTAGATTTGAAATTTTTAGTATCATCCAATCCTGTTACTGTCTGTTATAATAGTAAGTCTTTGAGATAAGAAAATTTATGGCTGTAGCAAGACAAAGTAGACAGAACATTGGCAACCTTGTACAATCTTTGTAATTCAAATTTTGTGACTTTCAGACGGAGATTTGCTCCAGCAGCCTGACAGACATTATTCAAGGTGTTGTCAATGGGGCTGACGGCTGTCTCTTCTCCTATGGATATTCCAGACATGGTTTGTACTCTTACAAAGAACACATTCTTTGGAGGAATAAAATCAGTTTTCATCTAAGTTGTTTTAGGCTGATGATGCCTCTTGTCATGCCATCAAAACTTCTTGCTACAGGTTGAACTCACATGTCATTATGGTTAGATCATTAATGATGTTTTCTTCAACCCATGTGAGATTTATTAATTCAGAAATATTTTTTCATCAGCCCAGAGACATAATGTGCAATTTTTGTAAGATAATTAAACTGGTGTGCAGAAGATACATCTGTTTTACATGAAAGCCTTTATTAAATGTGGTGAAGATGTGCACAGGCAGAATTACTAGAAATTTTATGTGTTACATATAGATGATTAATGCTGAGGAAGACATTTTGTTTGTGTATCCTAAACATAACCTGAGAGAAAATATCTGAATATAATGTATCCTTGATTGTGAACGCTGTTAGTTTTATTGGCTGGGTTTTTAGCAGTCTTCGAAACAGATCCTTTAATTAACTTTGGAGAGCTCCACCATGTTAACAGTTTACTGTAACAAAAACAACATTTTTAAGGTTGCCATGAACATGCCAAGTGAATAGTTTGTTAATTGTTGACACGAAATTTACCTCCCCTTGCCACTAGGGGGTTTCCTGGATCTTGTCTCTCTGACAGTCCTGGATCTTCCCAGTGAGAGAGTTTGGTTCTGACTCATGTTTCTCATGTACCAATTAGATTGATAGGGCTAAAGGGATTTGTTGTCTTGTCCTTTGTTTTCTATCATTATGTTGTCATTTAAAAAATGTTATGCTTTTTAACCACCCTTTAAGTTCATCCATATTGTGTATCTAAAAGAGACTGTGTCGAGTGTGGATCAAGAGCTTGGTCTCAATACTGTACTGTGGAAATGTCAGACTTTTTAAAATTGTTAAATGTAATAAAGCTGCAATCTGTTTCCTAAATATTCATCAAAAGAATATTATATGAGTGAAACATTTCTAATTGTGCTTGTTGGTTAAGTTTTTGCTGCAGTTGCTGAGAATGATATGGATAATCAACAGTTCATGAGCTGCTCTCTGAATGTCAGTGTCCCCACAAGTTGGTGTGGGATGACTCAAACCAAAACAGAAAAAGATGTGCCAAAATTTAATTAGAACCTTGTGATGCAGACTGAGCAACTGGGCTTTCAATCAAATAAAAACATGCAAATATCAGTTGCTTCCTAACTAGATTCTATTCAAGACTATTATCATGTCTGGAGAAAGTTTTCATTCATCAATTAAATTAATTTGATTCCAATTGGAAGAGAAAAAACTTAGTCCTCACTTCCTCCAATAAAGAGCTTGTCATCTGACCAAATATCTAAATCTGCCAATTACTTTGTTTATTGAATTGAGTCTGTAGAGAGTAATTATTTTTGATGATGATATGGTTGAAGTTAATGGGATGAATTAGGGAGATGGGGAATTGGTGTGAAGTGAAAATAGCTCTTTCTCTCTGTCAGTGCAGAAATGTGGATCATGTCTTTATTTCATAGCCATAAAAAGGAAATTTAATGAAAAAATAATGAATTAGATAGCCAAGATTCTAATGCAATGAGATCTTTATTTAGATGTGATACTGTAGACGATATATCAATGCTTCAGTTAGCGTAAAGGTCCACATATGGAAAGTGTACAATTTTAATATATATTTTGTATTTTTATATATGTTAAATATACCAAAAATTCAGCCAAAGTAGCAGAAAACTTAGTTTTTAGAATGATCTCCATGACAATCTAAATTTTGTGAATTATTTGCTCATTGATATGTTTTACTTTTAGGTAAATCCCATACTATGATGGGAGAGGATGTGTCAGCACAGACCTTAGGAATCATGCCTTGTGCCATTTCTTGGCTTTTTCGTCTCATCGATGAACAGAAAGACAAAACAGGGGCAAGATTTTCTGTAAGGGTATCAGCTATAGAAGTTTCTGGAAAAAATGAACAATTGAAAGATCTTCTGGCAGAAGTTGCAAAATGTAAGAAAAGTCAATTAATTTGTATAAAATATCTTGTTGCCCTCTCATTCAAGACTACTAATAATAACTATTATAGTATGAAACTTCTGACAATGGTGGACAATATGTGTCAACTTGTCTTGCATAGCTATGCCGCTGCCCCCCCTTTTTTTTTTGATTTGATGTATAATCATACACACTCAAACTATTTACACAAGGAGGAAGATGTGTTACGCTTTCTCGTTTTTGCCTGGATGCATCTAGTCTTCTGCTACAAAGGCATTTTTGAAGGTTTTATGCATACCAGAGAGTGATAGGTGTAACAGAGGAAGTTTATTTACATTGTATAAAATAATTGTGTTCTCTAAGCCAAAAGTTTCTGTCTATGTTGTAAGAAGTTCTCCAAATGATAATTTGATGAAATGTTGATCAGATAAGCATATGTGGTGCATGTGCAACCCAAAAAAAGTCTGTTGGTAAAAGTATTGTGGAGAGCTTTACTGGCATTAATGCATGTAATGATCTGCACCTGAAATTCATCTTTAGCTATGTTGGAGACTATATGCATTGTTGAAGCCAGTAATTGCATTACAATACAAACCTTAACCAACTCCATTTCATCCCAGTTATAGATGTCTGCATGAATTCACTGCCATGATTAGTGTTAATTACATGGCTTTTTTATTGGAGAAAAACATGCAACAGACAGCTAACTACAAGTACTCTCTAAGTGTTCATCATATGATCTTTGAAAAATCTCATGAAATGAATAAATAGCATTGATGGACATATTCCAAGAATTTACTGTAATAAGAATGCTCATTAAAGCATGCCGGAACTCACTGTCAAAACTGTTTGCACGTATTGGTGTTTTTGTCTGGAAATCAAAAAGACTTGTATAATAATTTAACAGAAGAAATATCTAAAATCTGTTGTACATATTTTGGCATTTGATAAAGGTGGGATTTAATTGGCAAGAAACATTATCTTTGCAACACTTTGATTTTCAAATGAATTTTGACTGCTTGATGTGTATGGAGTTCATTTTCAATGCATGCATTACACTTGGGAATAAAAGAAGAAAGTAATCCTTAATCCTTAATTTTGCACTTTGTCTTATAGCACAACAAATAAACATTATAAGTTTAAGCTGAATTTAAGTTGTAGTCAGGAAATGTTGATGTAGAATGTTCTTGATAAAAATATTTAGTTATTCTTTTACAAAAAGTAATTTAGTAATTGTTTTATGCCTGCTATGATAAACTTGCAGCATCATTATTTAAAAGAAATGAATGCTTTATTTAATTTAATTATTTTTACACCCTTTTAAAAAGATCTCAAATTATATAACTCATTAGACAAGTCATATTTTTGAAAGGTTTTTGACCTGGTCCTCGGGTTCATAAACTTAATGCAAAAAATAGTTTTTTAATGAAGTATAACACTGGGAGGTTTGTTTGACTAATTGCCTCCCATTATTTAATTACCCAGGATGAGTTATATGTTGAGTAAAAATGTGTCAATTTTGACAGCTCCACCACAATGCATGGTATGGTGCCGATTTTTTTTAATTAATTTATTTTTTTTTAACCATTTTCTCCTCTTTAAAGGAGCCTTAATGTTTCAAGCACAATGACCACAAAATGAAGAGGAAGATTTTTATGAAGTCTAGCTGCTCTTTATGTTGCTTTGTATTATGTTTGTTTCATGAGTTGAATTGCAGTTTGGTTTTGTTTTTATTAGGCAAAGGTAGCCCTATTTTGAGTGACCATTTTCATATAAATTTAAATCATTAAAATTTAATAATTAGATTTCTTTTTATTAAGATACTGAAGCAGGTGTAGGAACAGCCCCTGGTGTGTATCTGAGAGAAGACCCAATCTGTGGAACTCAGCTAGAGAACCAGAGTGAGCTCAGGGCGCCCTCTGCTGATAGAGCCGCTTACTACCTGGATGCTGCTCTGGCTTCTAGAGCACAAGGTTAGGATCAAGTTGTCTGCAAAATTATTTTGTATTAAAGCAACTGATATCTTGAGAGTTTGAACCAGTATTAAGAATATGCTTTGATAAATGGTTGTCCGTTAATATAGTCGGCATAAAGTGCAAAAGATAAATGAATTTTGATAGGTTAACATTGTGGAGTCCATTGATGCTGGCTAAAACATTCTAACATAACCTTGCAAAGCTGATCTACACATATTAATAGGGGTTGTAGCTAGCCAAGATGTAGACAGTTATGTGACATGAAAGCTGCTAATTCAACCTGAAAATTCCCCTGTTGGCAGAAAACATGTTTTAACCCTTACTGAAATTGACAATTTATTTCAAATACAGCACACATCTGGAAATTCTGTTCTCTTGTTCTTAGAACTAGCCAACCATATCAAGGTGCAATCTTCTGCAAAAATATGAATTCACATAACAGAGGGCTACTCTGATAGGGTTTGGAGTTTTATTGTATAATGTAAAGTCTAGCTAAACAGAGGTGTCGCTCCATGATTTTCCTGCAATATTCAGGCCAAAAATTAGTTTGCATCAAGGATTAATGAATGAATGAACATATGCCTGATTATTAAGTGCAGAAAGAACAATGAACTTTTTTTAAAAAGTGCACATTACCAGAGGTCTTGTATAACTCTAATAATTTGTTTACAAAGTTTCATTGAATACCTTTGCAGAAGAAGAAGAGCTGAGATCATCTCACATCGTGTTCACCCTTCATGTTTATCAGTATAGGATAGAGAAGGCAAATCAAGCAGGTCTTCCAGGAGGTAAGGCTTTCTCTTATACTCATGCAGTTATGATTAAACCAGTTCTCAGAATGAGACTATTAAAACATGTTGGCACATTTTGACAAATAAATATTTGACAAACTAAGCTTTAACTGTGGAGTGTGGTTGAATAGATTATTTTTTAATGCTTAAAGACTCCATGAAAAGCTGCATTTTTGGGGGATTTCCTCTTGAGTTTGATGCAAAATGACCATTTGCATTATTCAGACAACAAATAAGAATGATTTTTCTCCCTATCAGTCTACTCATTTTAAAATGAATACCAATACTGCAGAAAAACTTGAAGTGTGTGAGACATGAATATTGAGATTCAGATTTGTGATATAGTTGGAATCATAAACTCACTCTGATGTGTCCAACATTGAAAAATTAATTGTGATACATTATGATCTTCAAAAATTAAATTTGTGATGTTATTTCAATCTTTTTACTTTTGCTTAATTTTTTTGTATAAAGCTAAAATAAACTGTACACAAAGGAATAAATTTAACATCATAAATAGACTTCATAATCAATTAAGTACCCTCTATGTAGAGTTATATCTGAACAATTAATTTACATTCAGTAGTTCAATTTCTTAGGCTTGGTAGTGGATTATCAATGTAGAAGTTCCTACTCCCATCATCAAACAGGAACTAGTAATATTCTTTAGTTTTTCTCTTGAATGCAAATTTGAGTTTCCCTGGTGAGGCTCACTAAATCAAATTTTGTATGCTGCATGCCAATCACGGAATTCCTCCATCCTGGCTAAATCAAATTTGAAAACTTGATTCGGCACCAATTCAACTAGTTGTGTGATTTGAGTGAAAGCATTTTTCTCTTGATAAAAAAGCAACAAGTTGAAGCACTTTTTCTTGATGTCTTGGCTGAAAAATAAATGCTTTCGGGATTTATAAGAAAGGAGATATCAACTCTAGAAAGCACATGCAGATGACAGATTTTGAATCGGTCTAATATGGTTGCATTGCTTGGGGAAGTGGTCCATTGATTTGGTATTGAAATCAGTGGGTTATTTAGAATGCATCTAGATACAGAAGTGGCCAAAGTGAATGTAATCAATAATGGTAATCCAAAATGTACACAGAAAGGTTGATAGTTTCTCAGCTTTGGAACAGCTCTCGTCAGATCAAGTAGACCTTACCCTGGACTAACATCAATTATGCCATTTCTCTGTTAACAAACTCTTCAATCAATCAGATTGCTAAAGCACTGAGAAAAGATAATGCCATCCTATTCACCCACAAATCTGCAACACTTTTGATTGCCTCTATCATACTGTTAAAATATATACATATACACATACACTCCACAACATCAGATTTCTTAGGTACATGACTTTGTATATACAAAGGTATTTTTATGCCTGGCCAGGGCATATAGTGTTTGTCATGTCCATCTTCCATCCTTTTGTCTGTCCTTCCATCGCGCTTTGCATTTAGCTCAGTTCAAAGCTCAGTTTCAAAGAAACTATCGAAGATATTTTATCACACTTCATTTGCTGATAGATATTGATGAGAGCTCTGCAACTGCATCAACATTTTTTGACCTTGAACTTTCCTTTGACCTTGACCTCATTTTTCCTAAATTAGTGTTTAGCTCAGTTTTGAACATATCATTCAAGATAGTGAAATCAAACTTCATATGTTGATACATACTGATGAGAGCTATTCAACTGCCTCAACATTTTTTGACCTTAACTTTTCCTTTGACCTTGACCTCACTTTTCTTAAATTAGTGTATAGCTCAGTTTTAAAGAAACCATTCAAGATATTTTTATCACACTTCATATGCTGATACATACTGATGAGAGCTATTCAACTGCATCAACATTTTTTTTTACTTTGACCTTTCCTTTAACCTTGACTTCACTTTTCTTAAATTAGTGTTTAGCTCAGTTTTAAAAAACCACTCAGGAAAGTGTTATCATAGCTCAGTTTTAAAGAAACCGCTCAGGAAAGTGTTATCAAACTTCATATGCTGATACATACTGATGAGAGCTATTCAACTGCATCAACATATTTGACCTTGAACTTTCATTTGACCTTGACCTCACTTTCATCAATTTGTGTTTAACTCAGTTTTAAAGAAACCATTCATAATATTTTTATCAAACTTCATATGCTAATACATACTGATGTCAGTTTTCAACTGCATCATTATTTTTTGACCTTTCCTTTGTCCATAACTTCATTTATTTTAAATTAGTGTTTAGCTCAGTTTTAAATAAACCATTCAAAATATTTTTGTCAAACTTAATATGATGATACATATTACCTATTCAACTGCATCAAAAATGTTTGACCTTGAATGTTTCTGTGATCTTGACCTCACTTTTCTTAAATTTGCATTTTGCTTAGTTTTAAAGAAACCAATTAGATATATTTGTGTAAGCTTATGCACTTATACATAATTTGGTGAGAATTTATCATCTATATCCAACTTTTTAGATTTCAATTTTAAAGAAACTGTTCAAGATATTCTCATCAAATTTCATACACTAATACAAATTTTCATGTTGCATTACCAATATACCCTTGGCGGGGCATCCATGTCCTATGGACAGATTTCTAGTTCTATTTTTCTTGTAAGCAGAGTAAGAAAGTATATTTTTAGAACAATTGAAATATTTCAGTGGCGGGAGGAAGAAGCAGACTTCATCTAATTGACCTTGGAAGTTCCTCAAAGTCTAAAGATCCTGACAATGTATCACTTAGTCTTTCTGCACTGGGAAATGTTATCATGGCTCTTCTTAATGGTCAAAGACATGTCCCTCACAGGTAAATTAAACAACATTCTTTATATACCCTCTAACCTCATTAATAGTAAGCAGTGTTTTAAGCTTTATGAGGTCTTTCAGAAAGAATATTAAGCTTGTTTCATTTTGTGGAAATGCTAGGAGTTTGTTTGGTATTCAAGGTTTAATCAAATTTAACATTGCTAGCATCATTATGTTTTATATGCATTTTATCTTGAATTCTTTTACTTTTTTGCCATATGTTTCAAATATATATTTACCTCAGAACTTTGGACCTCACAAGAACCAAAAGAAGAAATAGTGTACAAGGTTATATACTCCCTGTCTGGTTCTCCAATCTATATTGCAGTGGATATTCTTGATCCCTAAATTATCTATTTTTAAGGAAAAAAGTAGTAATGACAGTAATGATATACACGTGCCGAAACTATATAATAATATGTTCTAACCTCTGTAGAAAAGCTTATTATTTTAAATTCATTAGCTTTAATAAGTGCAGTCCACAAATTGTGTAAAAAAGATAAGATTTGGAATCTCTGAAGCTTGACTTTATAATTCTCTTCTCATTAGGATGACTTTCATGTCATAATGCCTAGGAAAAAAATATCTCCATAATGAATTTGCTTGTGGATTGAAAAGCTAGTTTTGACACGCTTCAAAATCTTTGGCCTCAACTTCAAATAATTATAGTGCAAGTTATATAGGAAGCAAATTAACAAGAAAAACCTAGGGTAATGACAAACAGATTTTTACACTGAAGAGGGGCAAAACAGTGTTTATTGTATCTTGAACTTATTGGCAGATATCCTATTTTCAGGAAGTGTTGCCAAGAAGTACAATCTTTTATTAAGGTGTTATAAAGAGGGATATAAAAACAGAGATGTAACTGATTTTTTTAACTCAGGAGTGTCTTATTACCTATTAATGAAGAAGAGATAGATTATCATTAAAGTATGTAAAAGATTGCATCATGAGGTAGAATCTTTAACAGCACTGAGTGCCGACTGTTGGCTCTTGACATTATGACAAAGAATAACGGCCGTTGGTTGGATTGTGAATGTTATTATCTACATAAATTCCTTTGATGTGCCAAAGAACTATTATTTAGATAAATTTACTCAATCCAGAATGAACAAATAGTTAATTACCTGTATCTTGAGATCTACCCATGATGCAGGAATTTGTGTAATTAGTGGATTACATATCCTGCTTGCTTGTTAAGTGAGTTGAAGTTTCAAGACATATCTTGGAAGTTGTGTTCATTAAATGCTTAGATAAGGTTGTTATTATATGCATTGAATTCAGTAAAGAATAGCCATAGAAACATGCGAAATTAAAAATAACAGTGTAAATCATTTTGTTTTACAGAGATAGCAAAGTGGCCCAGCTGTTGAGGGATTCTCTTGGAGGAATTTCTTGCCGTACGTGTATGCTTGTTCATGTCTCTTCTTCTGTTAGTCACCACAACGAGACCCTGCAAGTAATTCAGTTGGCAGCAAGGATCCACAGAATGAGAAGGAGAAAAACAAAGGTAATTAATCTTTAGATTAATTTATGCCCATGTTCTCTGCAAAGAACATTAATATTTTGCTTCAACTTTTGAATCATTGTAGCTAATCTTTTTCAGTGTGAAACTCATATTCAACTATTACTGCCCTTTCAAATTTACCTGGATCAAAGATCTGTGTCTGATTTTCTTTGTTAAATATCATATTTAAACCTGACAGATCAGAATCTGCATCCATTCTCTACTGATTTGGAATTAAATTTATGGATTGACTGTATAATTGCATGTATACATATGTAACCACATTTCTCTCCATCCACCAAAATTCTTATAATCACAGAAATATAATGTCCAGGAACTACATTAATCATATCATATCATAACTTGGCCATGATAAGAGGTTTGTTTTTCCTAAACACATTTTGTTTATTTGTTTATATATATTAAATTAAAAAATATACATAATTTTTTTTTAAATCACTTTGCTGCACATTGCATTGTTTTTGTAGTTTTCAAGTACCAGCTCTGATGACAGTTCAACAGATGATGGAAGACTTAGGAGACCTTTCAAAGGCTGCAGAATGGGAACCCTTAGAGAAGATATGTTGTACAATTCTTCTCATTCAGACCCTGACTATTATACCTCTAGCAGTGAACAATCATGTGATACTGTTATATATGTTGGTGCTAATGGGCAGTCTCTCAGTGACCGTGAAATCACAGACAATGAAGGACCACCAAGGTCTGTTCCAAGGACAAATCCAAGATTACCTAGACGACCAAGTGGGTCAAGGTCATCTGGAGATGAGGGATCCAATTCAGACAGTGGACGTAGTCGTGCATCTTCAGATTTCAAATACGGAAGAGCTGCTATGATTCACAATGAGAATTTTAATGTGAATAGGACTCTTTCTCCAAGGTTCCAGCCACAGCCTGTTAAACCACCATCAGCTGTTAGGGATGTCAGTGTTGTGTCCTCTCGTGCAAAGTCACCACCGATGTCACCAAGTGTTGGACAAAGTCAACATCCTCTCAAAACTCCAGCACGTTCAAGATCACAAGATTCACCTCAAAGACTAACAGTGAAAGGGCCTTCATCAGAGCAGCTAAAAGGAGAGCAGTGGATTGATGGGCCAGGTGTATATTCAAAGAGCAAATTAATGGAGGAGCAATGGATTGATGGACCACAGGCTTTTGTTAAACAAGAACTTGTCAATACCTTGGACCCTGCAAACAAACATCTATTCAATCCCAAAATGAATGCTGAAGAGCAATGGGTGGATGGACCCATTGAAATGATAGCTGGATCTCAACAGCAAAACAAAGAGGGAAAAGCAACCAATGCAAAGTTATCTGTGCACACTAGCTGTAAAGTTGAAAAACAATCAAAACACAAGTCCAAACCAATGCTTGATATAAAAGAACGTCCAGAGAGTACTTTCAGTGAGGAAAGCAACTCGTCAGTGGCTGTGCAAGGCCCAGATTCAAGGCCAGTAAGTTTGCATGAATCTGAGGGAAAAACTGATGCTAACCAGCAAAATGTGAAGCCTTTTGTAAGAGACTGGGTTCAGAAACATAGTACAATTGTTGACAGTAAAAATGCTCCAAAGAGAGAGGATCGGTCTGATATCATGGAGTCCCAGTGTAAATATAAGAAGGCAAAGGCAGAGTCTCATCGTAAACTGAGTGCTTCAACACCAAAACAGTCACCGATGAATTCACCATCAGTTCCAAGAAAAACTAAATGTGACTCACAAGCTGTTGGGAAATTGCAAAAGTCACATTTACCAACACCATCCAATCCTACCAAACGAGTCAAAGATTGGATACAGTCTGTGTCGATAGAACAAACCCAATCAAATTGTGACAATTTTGTGTCAGTTAGTGATTTTAGTTGTGAACTTAATGTGAGGGCATCTGAATTGAATACTTCTCAGGATATGTCTTCATGTAGTAGCATTCAGTTAGAAACTACTATGGAAGTAGATTCTCAGTGTGAAACAACCATGAACACAGCTCCCTGTAGCAGTGATGGTCGACCAGATGAAATGGCTGAGTGCAATATTGGCGACATTAGTTTTGATAGCAGTGTGGACGCTTGTGACACCAGCAACTCACTTAACAGGGAATCTATTTACGAAATGCAGATGGATGCACAATTAGAAAAGAGTGACTTGAAAAATATTGATATCCCAGACAATGATACATTCAGTAGTGTAAGCAAAGATGAGGACTCAGATTGTGAAAATGAACCTCTCCTTGCAAAAGATTTTAGCTTTCCTCATTCTTTGACCGTTGAGAGTTTGAAAACACTTGTTGCAGAACCAGTTGGTGCAGATCAGCAGAAATCAAACCAGGATCAATCTTATGAAGACTGTGAGATTGATAAAAAAATCAAAGAAAATTTATTCATTTATGACAAAGCTAAACCAATATCTTCTTTACATCGTACACCTGATGGTGCTTCAAATCCAAATTTAGTCAATGAACTTGATTATGAAGAAAAAATTGACTTGAAATTCATGAGAGGAGAATACATCATTAACCATGTGCAGCAGATTTCTAGTCAGAATATGGATATTTACCAGAAAGCTACCTCATTTGTAAAGTATGAGGAACCTGATGGTAGAAAATCAAAGTCAAAACCACCGCTTCCTAAACTATCTTGTAAATCTCACAGTGCTAGCCCATCGCGCTGTAAGGATCTGAGTCTCAGCCCAAAATCTTCTGGCTCATATACAAGTAAAACATCCTCACCAGTTGGCCATGTCAGTCGTTCAAAAGAAAAGTCTCGTCAGACTTCAACATCTTCAGTGTCCTCGCAGTCATCTCTTCCATTCACCACCAGTCCATCCTCAAAATCTTCAAAATCTCCATCTCCCAGTAAACTTCCCATCTTTTCCAGTAAAACATCTCGTAAAAAAGACAAGGAAAATAAAGTTGGCAATGGTCGTGTGGTTGAACTGAACACATCCAGTAGAGGAACAGACTCTGACAGTGGTAATGACAGTGGAATTGTTGCACATGAAAAGAAATTGCTTTCTCCGTATAACACAGTGACAAAACCACGCACTCCTAGCCATTCCAGCAGTGGGCATGGCAGTGACAACAGTAGCACTGTTAGTGCTGATCTGAGGTCACAGCTGGGAATCAAAGACAAACTTCATGGTGGGACCAGCAGTGGATATGAGAGCATGTTGAGAGACAGTGAAGAGGCATCAGCAACATCTTCTGGACAGGAAGAGAGCAACAGCGAGGCCCCCAGTGATAAAAAAAAGGGATCTAAAAAAAAGAAGTCAAGTTAGTACTTCCCTCTTAGGTTTTTCTTAAATATGATCTTTAAGTGAAAGAAAAATATGTTAAACCAATATTTAATTAGACATACTGATTGATATTGTAGGCACCAAACGGAGTCGCTCTGCCCCAGCTAGATCAGGGGAAAGTCCTGATGGTAAAGGGTCAGTAATTTCAAGTCCCTCATCAAAGGCTTGGGTTGACACACGGCAGATTCAGAGAATCAAGGAGGAGCCATTTGAAATAAAATTATATGATATGGATGACGTGGAGCGACTTGCTAGGAGACGAAATGAAGAAGAGGTAAATAATAATGATTAACGTTGTTTACATTGTTTTGGTGTTTCAAAAACAAAAGAGGCTGTAAGAATTGCACACTAGAGAGTTCTAATTCCATGGTAGTTTTATGCAGTTGGAGTGATTTGCCCTTGGTGTAAGATAGAACATATGGAAATCTACAGTGAATGACACTTTTGTTCTAGACTTTAGTACTTTATTACTCAACTGAAAGTTACTGAATACATTATTTGCATATATTTTCCCAATATAAGGAAGCTTGATAGTTTGACAAGAGTGATTTCTGTTTACTAACACCTCATTGTCTTTGAACATTTTTCTTGGGGAAATATGGCAAGTACCCCTTTGTTGAAAATGAACTTGTTAAACTCAACGTACACTAGATTTTTCAAAGTCCTAAAACATTTACATTCCACAAAGAAGCTAAAGAAAGATAAATCTTATAGTTTGATTTTTTTTTGTAGGAAAATGATCAAAAAAAGGAAAGGGTGTTGAAGCAAGGCAAACCACTGGAACTCATCGACCATAAAGATCAGATTGTGATGGAGAACCGTAATTGGAGATTTGACTGTCGTTTTTTCATGTGTTTTTGCCGTAATAAACAGAAACAGACAGACTTGTAATTTGTCCAACTTGCCAATAAAATAATTATGAACTTTGGCTGCCAAATTTTTAAAGTGCATTAAGTAAAGAGTTTGCAGGATTTGATTATGTGTGCATTTGTTTTTGTTCTGATTTATATCATTATGCATTGTACATATTGTATATAAACTTTATTTATATATACAGATTGCATGTATATTTACATGCATTTAAACTGTAAAAGATTTTGTACATTTTTATTATTTATGTTATGTATGCAGTAAATATGCAGTTTCCCTTTGCAATAGTGGTTATGCATGGTAGACTTTGGGAATTATGACATCTATGTACTTATATATAATTGTAATGTGGTATTAATAAATATATTTGTACCATTTCAAAAAAATTGTATCTTTCAAATTTTGGATCAGTTCAGCGTTTGGTAAGGTTAATAATGTTGACAAAATGAAAGCAGTAATGAAACTTAAATTCAAGTATGGACTACAGTTGTACAGTGACAACCATGTTGTATGCTAAGGTCACAATACAAACAGCATTTAACTTGAATGTTAAATGTAAGTCATTCGTTTCAGTGCTGAAATGGAAATATGCAGATGCATTCATTTTCACGGTAGCTCAGTCGGTAGAGCGCTCGCTCCGTGATCGGGAGGTCGTGAGTTCGAATCTCGGCCGCGACAGACCTAAGTCGATAAAAATAGGTAGCAACTGTTCCTTCGCCATGCGCTCGGCACTTTGGAGTGAAAGTTGCGGGTCTTTCGGATGAGACCTTAAAAACCGAGGCCCCGTGTCACGGCAGGCGTTGGCACGATAAAGATCCCTCACTGCTCAATGGCCCTGAGTGCCGAGTAAAGGTCAAAATTTGAAGCCCTTCACCGGTATATGGTGACGTCTCTATATGAGTGAAAAATTCTCGAATGGGACGTAAAACAATATACAATCAATCATTTTTACTTTCATCAGCATCAGATTTTGAAATAAAGAGCATTATTAGTTTCATCAATTTTATGTCAAATCAGACTTTAAGTGGTCTAAGCTGGTTAATACAAATACGTCCTTTTTTTTTTTATTTTATTAAGTTAGTGATCAGGTGAAAGAAGAGATGGGCTAAAATCTTACATTGTAAATAAAGTTGTATATTGCAACAATGTTAAAAATTAACATATATTGATACATTTAAGTGAAGGTACAAGTTTGTTACAAATAACACAGGGTTCGATATAACCTTAAAATTACACCCTATTTATAAAATTATAAGATAAAATCAACTTACTTCACTAAAATATAAATATTAAGAGTTTGCAAACCCCTGCTCAGATTGAGCTAAACATTTAACTGTTGCCAAAAGACAATCCTTTGTAGTATGAAAAAGAACTTGATGGCAATTATTTCTTTTCTAAAATTAAGGGCTCAAATCATTTTTCCTGAATTTAGTTGGGTCTTTAAAGTGAAATTATGAGTTGTATCTCTATTGTACTGAGATGTATCTCTATTGTATTGAGATCTACATGGATTTTAAACAGGAATTGACACACTGTTCTATTTGCGCCAGGCAAAGGTTGAAGGAGATTTCCTGCTTCCAGAACTTTCCTTTGGCACACTGTTCAATTCACCGGCCAACCTAAAATTGAAAAAAAAATGACATGTACAATCTGGTTAAGGGAAGTAAAAGACCAGATTCCTATCAAAATATACAGCTACCTTGGAGGTAGTCGTTTTCTGTTTACTAAGGTGCATTTGTGTTAATTTAGATACCAAAACATTGACAATGAGCTTTTGTCCCTTGAATGAATAGACATAATACAAATATAGCCCTTTTATTCGGTAGATCCATAGATATATCGACTTCACAGAAAAGCATATCGACGAAGTGTGAGGTCGATATACGTTTCTGTGAAGTCGATATATCTATGGATGGACCAAATGAAAGGGCTTCATTTGTTATTTTATTTGTTCTAGAGATTGAAAAACAAAATATGAAATAGTGGGAGCAAGGCACAAGTTTTGTTTCTTGTCCTTTTTTTTAAGACATAGAGACTAGCGATCAAAATAAATTAAGCTGTTTAATGTAATTGTGTTTCCTTTATACTGATAGAGTAATTAAGGGAATTTAAACATGTTAAAAGGCTACATTTGTTTTATGTTTTGTGTCGATTTATGAAAACATATCTAATATCTTTTAATATAGAGTAGATCCTTATTCAAGGCATTGTTATGTCTTATCAATTATTACAGATCATCACGATAATAAATTATAGGAGTTTAAGTATAATTTTTCCCCCAAACACCAAGTCATACACTCTATTACCTATTGTGAATTCAGCACTCTTGTTGCTTTACATAAGATTATTTCCATTTTGTTTAGCTCACCTCAACGAAGTTGGGGGAGCTTATGTAATACCCTCGGCGTTGGCGTCGGCGTCCCAGGTTAAGGTTTTTGGAGCAGTTTTCTTTTCAAGTACTTCTATGGCCTATATTAGTCAGAGATGCATGGAGGATGCTTCTAGTGTGTTTCATTGTACCAGTTAAGGTTTCAGATGCTGCAATTTCAGCTAAAGAATGACCAGGTTAATGTTTTTGGAGCAGGTTAAAGTTTTTGGAGCAGGTCTCATTTCCAAGTAACTATTAACCCTATATTGACCAAACTTGCATGGATGGTACATCTAAGGATTCACACTACTGCACTTGCTTCGGATGCTGGATCTGACCTACATTTTCCGGATGAGTAACCAGATTAAAGTTTTTGGAGCAGATCTCATTTCCAAGTAACTATAAGGCCTATCTGAACCAAACTTGCATGGATGATGCATCAAGGGACGAACAATCTCAAAACTTGCTTCGGATGCTGGATTTGACTTACATTTTCTGAATGAGTGATTAGTTTTAAGTCTTCAGATAAGTCCATTCCCAAGTAACTGCAAGCCCTATCAGACCAAAATTGCATAAATGTTGCATCTAGGGATGCACACTCCTAGATTATTAGTTTAGTGTGGGACTTTGCCTTACTTAAAGACAACATTCGTTGAGGTGAGCTCTGTAATCTCTGATTACCTATATGTTTTAAACATCAAGTTGATATGCGTTTCAGAATTTTTGAATAGTAACACCGTCGATATGCTGTTATATATCTTATCAAATGATCAAGTTTGAGCCAATCAGAGAGCTTGTAATAAATGAGAAAAATAATATATATATATATATATATATATATATATATATATATATATATATATATATATATATATATATATATATATATATATATATTGAGGATGGCAATCAAATGCAGAATTGCTAATCGGTTAACTGCAAGGCGTTCCGACTGATTAACCAGTTAATCGTTTCAAAATACACATTTCCCTTACTTTTTTCAAGTAAACCCTCTGCATATATATAAGAAATTTTAAAAAAAAAGACCTTAGTCATATTTTGTTTATGCTTGATCAGTACACTTTACGTATTTTATTCGTATTTTGTTTCAGTTTCAAAAGAAAAAAAATATAACGAAAACCATGAAACATCCCTGAGATATCAAAGACGTTGATAATTTTTCAGACCAGAATTTATACACAAGATCATTCTGCATTGTCACCATAAATAGACATTTGGTTTGAACTATTACTTATTAAATTTACAATGTTTGTAAAAAATATAATTTGACAGATAACTGCAAAGGATAGGTGGGGTAAGATACACACTGTAATCGGTTCACATTACTCAATTTGTCACTTTGTCACTTGCTATATACCTCTTGTAACTTACCACCTTTATAGCAAATTTGATACAAAAATGTCAAATAATGTAGTAAACCAATTTCCCTTCTTGGCTACTTGTGAGATCTTGAAATTTGAACATATATATGAGACAAGTTTCATGAATTTTGCATCCACAGTTGTCTTGCCTTTCAATGGCCTGAAATTTGTTAGGGTAAAATTTTAGTTTTTGGTCCTTTTCATGCAGTTTACATGCTATAACAGAAAAAGATTTTTGAAGATTGCCTTAATCTTTATAGTTTTGGCTTTTTGAACCCTCAAGCCATGGGAATGCGTACGTACACGTGGACCATGAAATTCTGTTTCACTTCAGTTATAGTAACTTGTGCACAATTAAAAAAAAACTTAAATTTTAGAAAAAAATGTGCAACAGTTTTCAACATACTAGTACTTCTAAATTGAAGCATATATTAAGAGTTTTCTTCAAAATAATTCTTGTTTTAAATACATTCAAGAATTTTGCATTTCCTTTGTTAATATCGATGAGTATAGAAAGTGCGCATGATCACATTGTTCTGCTTTATAATTATAAATTTCAATATCAATTTTTCTATATTTAAAGGTGCTTAGACACAGATTTGAAGTAAATATTTATTCAAATTTTCTGTATAATTTCATGACTTATATGTTGCTATAGCATTTAATACGAAAAATTGATAAAAATCTTATTTTATCTGGAAGTTATTGAAACTTCGAATTTCTGGACGCGTTTGAAAGACACATCCTTGCACTTTCACAAATTTTAACTTTATCCTTATTACTTTAGAAAAGTAGCAATTTTGTTGTTTGTTAATGAAAAATATTAAAACTATAATGCAGAAATTTCAGAGTAAAAATGTAGAAAGCAAAATCCTCTCACCAGTATTGTCAGTCTGTGATCAATGGTGTGTGCAGAGTTTAACAATTGAACACACTCGGTGAAACGTAAACATTAACAACAACGGAGCTCGTCCCTGTTTACAAAAAACAGTTTTACGTTTCAAGGGTGTATTCAATTTGTTAAACTCTGTACACAACTACAAAACACTGAGCACAAGCTGAGAATACTTTAAGTCACTTAAAGAGTGGGATTTGCTTTCGCACATTTTAACTCTGAATTTTCTGGATTATAGATGTAATATTATTCATTAATACACAACAAAATTGCTACTTTTCTTAAGTATTAAGGATAAAGGTAAAAATTGTGAAAGTGCAAGGATGTGTTAATCAAACGCCTCCCGAAATTCGTAGTTCCAATAATTTCCAGATTAAATAAGTTTTTAATTTTATTTTCGTGTGAAATGCTACAGCAAAATATAAGTTGTGATATTATACAGAAAATTTGAAAAAATATAAACTTCAAATCTGTGTCTATGCACCTTTAAGTACCATCATATGATGGTGAGAGAAATATGCGTGTACTGACCTTCCAATTTTAACTCGTAAAACAGGCCATCAAATTTAATTTTAAAAAAAAAAACTTGAAATTTTAAAATCTTGAAAATTATGAAATTAAGAATTTTTCTCCATTCAAATTAATTGGCCTGCATGAAATACGATGAACAGATACAGAAATGATGAACACTTTATTTTGATCAACTCAATACCTTTTGAAAAGAGACTTTCACTGCTCCTGATGGAAGTTTCCTAATTTTACCATGATCTTTAATAACTTTCTTTAAATAAACAAAAAAAATCAAAGAATGAAAAAAGTTCAGTAAAATAACTACTTTAAAATATAATTACTTTTGGAGAAATTAATTTTTTAAACGCAATAATCATTTAAAAAATATATGTAACATTAATTACTACATTATGAATATAAATGAGATTATTTAAAATAAAGAAATACGTAAGAACTCCATTTTTTTTTATCGTAACTTACATATGCCTGATAAATGTATATCAGTACCCTGATAAATTGTGCCAATATCATTAATTATCTAGGGGACTTCACCACAACCAGAAATTAGTATTTATTTGTGATATCATAATAGACTTACTATTTGAGATTTCTTTTTCTTGACTGTCTTTGGCTAGAAGGAAATTGTAACAAAAGTTGATGATACACTGTACATGGATGGTATGACAATTTTTTTGTTAGCTATTCTACATATATTGCTCATAATTTACGTTAAAACGGGTGCATACAATCATACAAATGAGTCATAATTACACTTGTACCATAGCTTACGATAATTGATTGTTTAAGATTTTACTCTTACATATTAATGTAGTAAATCTACTCAGCAGTTATGTTTTTACGTATTTTTATACATAAAGAGATGAAATCAAAAGTAACATGATACACACTTCTGTGCCATTTTACTAATGGAACCAATGACTTTCACTAAAAATTGAAGCACAAAAATGAGTATCTTTAACCTTCAGGGAAATTGAATAAATCATACAATTTTAGACTGCATATGGACACTCAGTTCTGTGTAGGGGTGTGGCTATAGGGGAAGTCCTACTCTATATATAATACTTGTACCTCAAACTGTAAGACTAAGTTCATACAGAAAAAAGTACGAATTATAGAAGAGTTTCTGGACGTGAAGGATTCAAAATTAAGTATTTTTACCGTTCCGTTAAGATTTTATGAATTATTTGATTATGTCTTATTGAAATCTGAAGAGTTATATTAATCAAATTTCCTTTGCTCATTGCATGCAACATATTTCAGTAAGTTTGTTCAGTGTTGAGATTCCCCGAAAATAGCCCGAGAGCTCATTATGAAGTCACAAAGTTCTGGTGAATAGCTGGTTATGTGCTTTTCAAGTTATTTAAAAGAAGTTTGTAAGATAGATATTGGCCGATAGTTAGGGTACATTTTGTTGCTCTGTACGTAATGTCGCCGGCGATAATATGCATCTACACTCACTGCACATATTGTCGACCATCGGTACATATTGACACCATAGGGGTTTGTTAAATGTTAAAATAAATAAATTTTGAATTTACTTTGAATACACTTAAAAAGTTGTTACAATAAAGACAAGAACACCATGTTTAAACAAACGTCCCGCACCCATAAAAATGTATATAGGTGTGGTACGTTTTTTTCCCTGGTGATAAGTATTAAAATCGACGTGAAGAAATCTGTATGATTACATATTCTACAATTTTACCAAGTTTATTCAAATCACACAAACACTCTTGTAGGGTTGCATTTTGTAATTGTTTACAAACAACGGGCGATAGACACTTTTTCAAAGAAGGAATTCTTCAAAATCATTTTAAAAAAACTTGAAAGAACTAGAAACTTTAAATTCACCAAATTTTTCAAAAGTCTATAAGATCAAAACTAACGAGTATTCTACACTTTATACAACAATTCCTCACGATAAATTAAAATTTAGACTTTTTGATATCATAGACAACTGCTTCTTAAATAAAACGGAACTCGGAAATTTTTGCATTCTTATTGACATCATTTATGTAGTCTTCGGAGACCAAGTTTTCCAACAAACGGTTGGAATTTCGATGGACACTAATTTTGCTCCTTTATTAGTTGACCTGTTTTTATATTCCTATGAAGCATAATTAATTAAAAAAACTTCTACTGGAGAAGAGGAAAACACTAGCTGTGTCCTTCAATCAACATTCAGATATATCGACGATGTTTTATCCATTAACAATAGTTATTTTCATTCGTATGTCGACTCGAAACAGTGAACTTGAAATAAAAGACACCACAGAGTCTGCAACGTCTTTTTCATATTTAGATATTTTACTCACTATAGATGTAAACACCAATTAACAACTAAATTGTACGACAAACGAGATGACTTTAGCTTTTCCATCGTTAACTTTCCTTATGTAGTAATATTCCACTATCACCTGCTTATGGTGTTTACGTCTCCCAACTTATTCGCTTCTCAAGAGCTTGCTCTGAGTACGACCAATTTTGAAAGCGAGGCAGACTACTCACTGATAAGTTGATGCTACAGGGATTTCAACAGCCTCGTTTAAAGTCAGCATTTCCTAAATTTTATTGTCCCTATAATGACCATGTTAGCAAATATAATCTATCATTGGGTCGTATTTTGATTAACTTGTTTCATACCAATTGTTAGGCCTTTGTTTTTGTACTGAATTGAGTACGGATAGTTCCGTCTACCCGATTAATACATAGGGCTCACGGCGGGTGTGACCGGTCAACAGGGGATGCTTCCTCCTTCTTAACACCCGATCCCACCTCTGGAATTTCCAGGGGTCCGTGTTTTATGCCCTCTCCACCTATCTGTATTGTTTGTGGATTTCTTTTTGAGACAGATCACTGTTCGTTATCTTTACCTTATACATTCTACCTTGTCTACAACCACAAGCAGTTTAAAAATTCTTTCTGAACTTTGTAGAGTTATTTCATAGATACTGTTCAGCTTTATTTCTGTATTTTATCTATTAAGCTCTCGTCACTCAAAGCCCCTTACAGTCTTACTTACATTAAATATCTTCTGCCTCCATTTCTTCCTCTGCAAACGATAAAAACATTTTTTTTAATTCATTTTTTACGCTTTTGTATATATGGTGTTTTATTTCTTTATATCTTGAAGCTACAAATGATGGAAGCTGTATAGCACGTATTGTGTTTATCTAGTTCATTTTTTGATGTAGGTTACCTGCCATATTTCTCAAGAATTTTTTTTTCAAGACGATGAAGTATCAGTTAACAGATATCATATTATTTACTTATATTGGGAAAACGCATGCAAATAAAGATATGTTACTTTATCTTGCTCTGTTATACATGTACTGTGTAATGTTAAGAGTAAAAATTGTGCCATTTACTGTAGATGTTCGTTTATTCTATCTCACTTTTAAATTTACTCTTATTAAACTGCATTGAACTACCATGAAATAAGAGCTCTTCAGTGTGCTGTGTTCAGACTCTTTTCCAGAAAATATAATAATTCAAATTATGATAATTTGGATATTTTTCTCTATATGACTAATAAAGAACATTTTCTGTGTAATACATAAAAAATTCTTGTATAATCCTTTTAGTCTTTCATTTAATTTACCTATTCATTACATAATTTACAGTTGTTTATTACCATAGTTGAACAGCAATAAGGAATAAATCCTCGTCTCTAAAGCAAAGTTAAATTTTCCCTACATGATCATAATAGAGCCCCATCCTCACTCCAGAAACCGTGACTCAATTTTGGAAAAAGCACTCTTTCTCACCATAACTATGCACTTAGCTTATCTGCTAAATACCCAGGAGCAGACAAAAAGAATTAATGTCTTTTCACCATATGATCAAATGACTAGAGCCCCGCCCTAACTCAAAAACCTCTGACCCAGGAGGCCAATTTCACAATATTGGAAGAAGCACCCTTGTTCAATAAAATATGAGGCCCATGGGTCACCACGCTCACCTGAGTAACTATGACCATTCTCTTCTTCATCAGCAGATTCTTTTTCCGATATATTCTTATGTAAAACTTTGATCACATATAATGGCCCCATCATACCCCCAGAGAGTCATGATTTGCACAAACATCGATCTATACCACTGAAGATGCTTCCATATAAGTATTTGCTCTTCTTGGGAAGACTCTTTAATATCTTTCCTATATATTCCTATGGTAAACCTTGATTTCCACCCTAATCCCGGGGGTCATGATTTGAACAAACTTGAATCTACACAACCTGTGGATGCTTCTATATAAATATGACCAATTATGGCCCTGCTGTTCCTGGTGAAAAGATTTTTAAAGACTTCTCCTATATATTCCTATGTAAAACTTTGATCCCCCATTTCTGCCTCTCCCCCCTACACCCCAAGGATTCATGATATGAATTTCAATCTACACTATCTGAGGATGATTCCATATAAATATGACAGATCATGGCTTTGCCGGTCTTGAAAATATTTTTCAAGATATTTCCTTTATATTCCAATGTATAACTTGGATCCCTTGTTGTTGCCCCACCCTACCCCACGGATTCATGATATGAACAATCTTGAATCTGCACTTTCTGAGGATGCTACTATATTAATATGAATAATCATGGATTTGCTCTTCTTGAGAGGATTTTTTTCAAGATTTTCCTTTTTATTACTATGTATAACTTTGATACTCCGTTGTGGCCCGCCCTATCCCCTGGGGTCATGTTTTAAACAAACTTGAATCTACACTACATATGTACCTAATGATGTTTCGGTAAAAATATGACTAATTATGGCTTTGCTAATATTGAGAAGAAGATTTTTCAAATTTCCCATACATTCCTTTGTAAAAATTTGACCCCTGTTGTGGCCTACCCCAAGAGGTTGTGATTTGAACAAACTTCAATCTATACTAACTGAGGATGCTTCTGTATTAATATGACTAATAATGCCTGAGATGTTCCTTAGAAGATGATTTTTAAATATATTTCCTATATGTTGTTATGTAAAAATCGATCCCTTGTTGTGACCCCGCCCTATTTCCAGGGGGTCATAATTAGAATAAAGTTGGATCTTCAATACCTGATGGTGCTTCTGTTTTAATATGACTAATAATGGCTTTGATCTTCTTGCAAATAAGATTTTTAAAAATAAATCCTATATATTAGTCTGTAAAACAATGACCCCCTGTTGTAGCCTCATCGTACCCCCCGGGTTCATGATATAAACGAATTTGAATCTACAGTATATAAAAGCTTTCACATAAGTTTCATCTTTTCTAGCCGACTGGTTCTTGACAAGAAGATTTTTTTTAATTGATGCAATCAAATGTTCACGAATTCTTTATTATTTCCCCTTGAATGGGGGCTTGGCACTTCCCGTGATCAAACTTAAATCCCTTTATCTTAGGATGCTTTATGACAAAGTTTGGTTGAAATTGGCCCATTGGTTCTGAAGAAAAAGTTGAAAGTTTTTGTTTGTTTGTTGTTTAACGTCTCTCTCGAGAATTTTTCACTCATATGAAGATGCCACCACTTGCCGATGGAGAGCTGCAAATTTTGACCTATACATGGCACTCAGGAGCATTGAGCCGTGAGGGATCTTTTTTGTGCCAGTATCTATTGCGACACGGGAACTCGGTTTATACGGTCTCCTTTGAAGGACCGGTCTCCACGTCCTACAGTGGGATTCGAACCTGCTTTGTAAGGATTAACTCCTTTCTCCGCGATTCTAGAGCAAACGTTCTACCACTGCGCCACTCGGGCAACAAGTCGAAAATGTGAAAAGTATTTAGACAACACATGACAGATGACATCGAGACAAACAGACAAACGGATGGATATCGGATACTTTTTCATTAGAAAAGCTCACTTGAGCCTTTGGCTCAGGAGAGCTAGTTATGCACTTAGTGTGTCTGCCTTCTACCCAGGAGTAGAAATGTTTGAAGAATTTTATGCATTTTTACTACATGATCTATAGAGCCTCACTCTTACACCTGAGCCCCTGACCACGGGACCATGAATTTCAACAAATGATACAGAGGACTCAATGCTTTGACTGCTTGATGTACAGGATGTAAATCTTATACGGTACCAAATTTGATGCACCAGATGCACATTTCAACAAATTATGTCTCCTCAGTGATGTTCATGCCGAAACGTTGGAAATCCGAAATATTTAAAGAATAAACACTTTGAAGAGCTAAAAAGGGGGTGTCAAAGACTGGAGCCTAATACGTTGAAAATTGGAGCTATGCATGAGGGAGATAATCCTTAGTTTTGAAATAAATTTCTGAATTTTACCACAACAATTAAATATATGTCCGTATTTTCAAGCTAGTACCGAAGTATAGTCCACCAGCAGAGGCCTCAACCCAGGAGTGATTATGTTAATCTTATACGGTTCCAATTTTGATGCACCAGATGAGCATTTAGGAGTAAAAGAAGAAGATTTTTGAAGATTGCATAAATCATTACGGTTTCAGCCCCACCCCTCATGCTCCAGAGAATAGGGACCATAAAATTCACAATTTTGTTCCACTTCACTCATAGACGCTCAATACTGGTTGAATTGGTACAGAAGCAAAGAAGCTGAAAATGTTCAAATGTTCACACCACTACAGACAAAAGCAGATAGCAATAAGTCACCTGAGTGACCAAGGTGACCTAAAAAGCATACAATTATGCCATTACTACACAGTTTCACTTACCTTGTTCATCCCCACGAGCAATTTTCTCCTCTGTAAAGATCAAAGCTCATTACAAAGTTTATTCCAAATTAAAAAATATATATATAAGAATAATAACAAAAAATAATTTTAAAAAATTCAAATAAGAACTAAATTAAAATAAGATGAAAGTTTACCCTTTCTCGAATTCTTCTCAATTCCTTTCTAGTTATTCTGCAGATTTTTCTAATTCTCTTTATTTTTCTTTCGAGTTTCTCCTTATGCTTCTTCACAGTTTTCTTTTCCTGCCAAACAAAAAAAAACAGGTTTAAGAACAGGGCTAGATGCATCTTTTTTTAAAGAAAACACTGAATTTGAATAAGCAGATAAAGCGATAAGTACTGTTTATTCGAGAAGGATAATTATGATAAGATATGTGTCTTACCTTAGTCGTTTTTGTTGGTAAAGACAATATTTCTTTTTTCTCCTGTACTTTCTCCTTTAACTAGCATTTTATAAAGGAAAATGGATAATCAAAATAATTTTTTTAGCATTTCTAGTAACAATTAAAAAAAATGATATCTCAGCGACCATCTTTTTTATTATACAAGTTACATAAGTACCTTTTTCTTCATCTTCAGTGTCTTTTCTTTCACACGTTTAATGGTGTCTGTTATCATCTTCAACTTTTCAACTAATTTCTTAAATGAAGCACACATAAATCGTCTGAATTTTTCTCGGATGTTATTACTGTATTTTTTTTTTATTATACATTTTTCAAGAATTTTCCACCTACTTCAATTTCCTCTGTTTCAAGTTTGTACTTGTGGTCTGAGTGTGAAATATTGAATCCAAATAAATAAAGAAAGAACGCAATGTTCTAGTTTTAGTTTCACAACAATTCTACTACATGTATACTATAAAAGTCTAAGAGAGAGAGAGAGAGAGAGAGAGAGAGAGAGAGAGAGAGAGAGAGAGAGAGAGAGTAAATTTGAGTTTATAAAATTGACCATCAAAACTTATCTTGTAAAATTAATTATAAATTTGATAATCTTAAAAGTATAAATACATGTTGATTCTCTATCCATTCAAATTAGTTGAATCAAATACGATTAAAAGAAAAGAAAATGCTGTACATGTTATAATGGTCAAGTGTAATACCTTTGGAAAAGTGACTTTTACTGCTCCTGGTGGAAGTCTCCTAATTTTACCACGGTCTGGGATCACTTTCTTTGATTAAGCGAAAAATAAAAGAATGAAAAGATTCTCTGATGAATTTTCCTCTAAATAAAAACCCTTTCCTTCAAATTTAGGAATGAAGATATGCATCTTAAAGCAAATAATTTATGTATAAAAGAGATGATTAGCAACACCCCTAAGGAACCCGCTTTTTTCGATGTAACCTAAAGTAAATGTACTATAATGAGTAATTGTGACCTTGATAAAATGAGTCAAGGTTATTAATCATTTGGGAATGAATTACTTCCAGGATTTAACATTTTTGTGATTTCATAATTGACTTACTATTGGAGATTTTCTTCCCTTAGTTGTCTTTGTCTAAAATGAAAATTAAAACAGAAGTTTGCAAAACATGATTGCTTTGAGCAACATAAAACTGTTGATCAAATGCCCTCAGCTCACAGTTTTACCTACCTTGTACATCTCTTCCTGCAATTTTCTCCTCTAAAACAACAGAGCGCATTAATTATATAATATCGAATATTTCGTAAAAATGAAACAAAATTGAAACATGGATGAAAGTTTACCCTTTCTCGAATTCTTCTCAATTCATTTCTAGTTATTTTGCAGATTTTTCTAATTCTCTTTATTTTTTTTTTGAGTTTCTTCTTACGCTTCTTTACAGTTTTCTTTTCCTACATATAAAAAAATATTCCTTTAAGAATAAAGATACATGTTTACTCTAGAAAACAGTGTACTTCAACAAGTTATAAACTGTAGCTGTATTGTTCATTTAAGAAGGCTATTAACCTATTTAGGATGTGTGTCTTACCTTAGAAGTTTTTGTTGGTAAGGATGAAATTTTCTTTTTCTCCTTTAGTTTCTGCTTTAGCTAACATTTTATAAAGGAAAATTTAAAATAAACAAACCTTTTTTGTATTTCTAGTAACATATTTAAATTTTATATACAAGCTTTAACAAAGCTTCTTATAAACTTATTGTGTAACCTCCATCAGTACCTTTTCCTTCATTTTCAGTGCCTTTTCTTTTACATGTTTGTACTTGTCTGTTATCATCTTCAGCTCTTCAATTAATTTCTAAAATAAAAGATACATAAATCATGCGGATTTTTTAAAATGTTATTCATTGAGATACTAACATGAATTTGCGTTTCATTTTAACCTTCAGTATTGAAAGTTCGGTCAGTTTTCTATTGTTAAATACATGTACTGAATTTTAATGAATGCAGACTTTGCAAGAAAAAAGAATTACGATATAACATGTAATCTGCAAAAGCGTTTTCCCCCTCTATTTGACCATCATCATAAGAACAGAAAGATGCTTGCATTGTCGTAATTTTTTTTTTACTTCATACAACTTAAAGTATAAAGAAATCTTTTCTTGAAATTGAATTCTAGAAATTAAAAAATCTCGAAGTTGTCCATCGTATTTCTTTCCATTCATAGTACAGTAAAATACGCTTACAGCGAAGTGCCATGGACAGACAATTTTGATTCGTTATAAACGTAATTCGTTATATCCGTTTGCAATACGTTTTAGAACAATGAAGAATGAAAATTACTTCGCTGTAACCGTAAATTCAATGTAAACGTGTTCGCTATATCCATGTTTTACTGAAACTACATGAAAAACGATGAGAAATAGAAAATGCGGGGCAATTTATTTTGATCAAGGTTATACCTTTTGAAAAGTGACTTTCACTGCTCCTTGTGGAAGCTTTCTGATTTTTCCACGATCTGGAATCACTTTCTTTGGATAAGCATAAAAAAAATGCAATGAAATTAATTCAAAATAAGACTTATCTACACCTTGAATTTCCTACAAATATACATCGGCTATTGCTTCCAAACTTTTTAATTACAAGAAAACTTTACAGTGCCTGGATATAGAATATCTGAAACATAATCCTCCATCGTGTTCATGTTCTTCTTCACCCTATAACTATAGTCCTGCTGGACACGTTATTACTGGTGATGTAAATATAGTTAATAATGAGGACCTTAGATCACTAATTTTAAAAGGTCCTAAATATAGGGAACCCCGATCCTTCAACTGGCGTCGGAATTTCATAAATATTATGAATTCTGTAGAGGATTACGCCAGGCGATGGGCCAGACATGAAAAAGAAGACCTTGACGCTTTGTCAGAATGAATTAAATGTATCAGATGTGTGTTAAAATCGCGCATTAAAAGATTGAGGGGCAATATGAGAACCATCTTTCCTTCTGTATTCAATAATCTAGAAGTGAAAAAAAGAAATTAGATAGATAACATGATCAGTACGTACTGGTCCCTGCTGACAAAGCAGGTAATAAGGTTGTCTTTGTTTGTAAGGCTCATTATATTAAATGTATTTTAGAGGAACTTGGATTTAATTCTACAAGTGGTAATCCAACTTATACTCATAATTCTCTCTCTAAGGAAGAAATTCTTCAAAATCATATGTCAGTTTTGAATATTTTTAATATTCCAAACGACCAAAATGAATTTGAATTACCATATCTATACTGGATTCCGTAACTTCATAAAAATCCTTACAAACAAAGATACATAGCGGGTTCCAGTAAATGTTCAACCAAGCCTCTTTCTTTACTCCTCACTAAGACATTAACAGTAGTGAAGGGGAAACTTCAAGAGTACTGTGCAACAATATATTCGAGAAGTGGTGTAAATCAGATGTGGATACTTAAAAATTCCAAAGAACTTTTGGAAAATTTGAAATCACAAGATTTTACCAAAATCAACAGCTTAAAAACTTACGACTTTTTCAACTTTAAACACAACCATTCCCCACGATAAATTAAAATCCAGGCTTTTTGATATCATTGACAGCTGCTTTTTCAATAAAAATGGAACTCGTAAATTTACTTACCTTGTCATTGGTCATTTGCAAAAATTTTTTGTTAAAAAACATTCTGATTGTACACACAAGCACTCTGAAGTTGACATTAAAAGATGCTTGAGTTTCTGATTGACAATATCTACGAGTATGTGGTTTTTGGAGACCAGGTCTTTCAACAATCTATTGGAATTCCCATGAGTACCAATTGCGCCCCGTTATTAGCAGACCTTTTTTGTATTCATATGAAGCAGGATTTGTTTAAAATCTTATACGTGAAAAGAAGAAAAACACTTGCTGTGGCCTTCAACTCGACATTTAGATATATCGACGACGTATTGTCAATTAACAATGGTTATTTCCATTCTTATGTCGATACGATATATCCCGGTGAGCTTGAGATAAAAGATACTACAGAGTCTGACACATCTGTTTCATATTTAGATATTTTACTTGAAAAAGACGTTAATGATAATCTAACAACCAAGCTTTATGATAAAGTTGATGACTTTAATTTTTCAATCGTCAACTTCCCTTACTTATGCAGCAATATACCTTCATCACCTGCATACGGGGTTTATATCTCTCAGTTGATTCGATACGCAAGAGCATGCTCTACGTATGTACAATTTCTAAAACGAAGTAAAGAACTGCGAACGATAGTATTGTTCTCCCGCCTACCTCCAAGTCAATTTTCAAAAGTTAACACATTTGAATGATTTTTCATAATTATACAGATATTTATATGAATTTTCATAAAACATTGGGGAAAACAAAGAGAGATAACTCTATAATTTTGGTAAAACTTGTGTTTTTCACTATAGAAATCAACGGAAAACGGAATATATTTTTAAAAACATCTCCCCCCCCCCCCCCCCGTGAAACAAAAATTCCTTTTTACAGGTAATATGAACTATCATTTCACAAATTCATACCAAAGCTTTTTGTGTTTCACGGGGGGAACATATGTCTACAGACTAAAAACTACAAAAATGCTTATTTTTTCACCAATTTCAAAGGGGTTTACAATTGAAACATTGTATTTTATTGATAATATATGCTTGATTTTATATGCATAAAACATAAGAAAAGATTTAAGGAACATTTATTCATATCCAAAAATATTTTAAAATGTGGTGATGCTTTAAAGCCCGATTTCAATGGAAAATATTGTCTACCCCCCTTATTTAAAGAGTTGGAATTAGGGGTAATTAAATATTTAACACTGGTATTAAAATTATCAATCAATTACCATTGAACTGTTCTTTGCATTCAACAAAGATTTTACGGCCAAATTGCCATTAGTATTAAATTAAATGGGTTTAAAATGTAGGCGGGAATCGAGAGTTAGCGTGAGTAGTTCTCATTGACAAACAAGTTGATGAAACAAGAATATCAGCAGTCTCGTTTAAAGTCATCATTTCGTAAGTTCTATGGTCGATACAATGACCTTGTCAGCAAATACAATTTATCATTGAGTCAAATGCTGACTGACGTTTTTCATACTAATTGTTAGGTCATTATTTACACACTGAATAGTCGACGGATTTTTCCGTTATTTCCCGATCATGACAAGGAGCACACGGCGGGTGTGACCGATCGGCAGGGGATGCTCACTCCTCCGTGGCACCTGATCCCACCTCTGATGTTTTGGAGGTCCGTGTTTGCTCTGCACCTATTTTGTACTGTTTAATGGACTTTTGAGCTTGAATACTGTTCGTTATCTCCATGTATTTCATCTTCATATTTAAAAATATATTTAAGACCTTATGCTATCAATTAATCGCTTCAATAATGAATATTTAAAAAAACAAGAGGCCCAAGGGCCTTAACGGTCACCTGAGTATGATACAATAATTGAAAGGATGCATAGAGTATAATATGAACTGAAAGGTGAAGCTTTGTTGCCCAAAAGAAAAAAAATAGGGTGATCATGATCAACAAAATAATTGGTCTTAATATTCATTAACAGTTCATGAATTAGGTTCTAATCCGTTCCCCATTTATCACTATCACCATACGGTATATTAACAAATTATCAATGCTTCTGTACTATTTTAATCCCTTGTTGAAATCTCTTACATTGGCCTCTCTTGGTCTTTGATGAACATTTAATAAGACAAGTTATTTTTGTCTCATTTTTATTTATCTACTACTTACAAGTCTATCTGATCATTAAAACAATGAAAGTACTTTTTGTATTGTACAATAAAAGTTTTTGCATAATTCTCTTATTCTATTTACCTTTCAAGTACATTATTTACAGTGATAAATTATCAAAAGTAAATGGCAAAGGGGAATAACTCCTCTCAGTAGAATACAAACTAATAGAGCCCTGGCCAGGACCAGAACACTTGACCAAATGGTCCAGATGTTCAAAAATCTGGTAAAAATTCCCTTCCTTATAAAAATTTCTACTCTATTTACCTCAGATATGCCCAGGTGCGGAGAAGATTTTTAAAGAAATAATGCATTTTTACTACAGATTCACTATATTATCAATAGAGCCCCCCCCCCCCAAAAAAAAAACACCAGAGCTTCTGACCCTGGGACCATAAGTTTGCTCATCATAACTAATCACTTTGTTTATCTGCTTAACACTAAGGAGCAAACAGGATTATTTAATAGAATTAATGCATTTTCACTATATTATCAAGAGCTCACCCTCACACCAGCACATTGACCCAGGGGTCATAAAATTCACTACTCTGAAAGAAGCACTCTTGCTCATCATAACTATACACTTAGCTTCTTTGCTTTTAAAACCAGAAGCAGAAAAGAATATTTTCAAAGAAATTTTGCTTTTTCACTATATAATCAATAGAAGCCCCCCCCCCCCCCCCTCACCAAAACCCTTAAACCTGCGGTCATAAAATTCACAATTTTGCACAATCCTTGCATATCATAACAATGTACTTAGTCTGTTTATACAATACCCATTGGCAGAGAAGAAGATTTTCAAAGAAATAATTCACCTTGACTATAGGATCTATATAGCCCCACCCTAACACCAGAACTCCTGTCCCCGGGGCCATGAATTTCATATTTTTGGAAGAGACATCCTTGCTTATCATAACAATGTACTTAGTTTGTTTAAATAATACCCAGGTGCAGAGAAAAAGATTTTTAAAGAATTAAAACATTTTCACTTTATAATCAATAGAGCCCCGCCCTAACACCAGAACCCCTGATCCAGGGGCCACGAATTTCACAATTTTGGAAGAGGCATCCTTGATT